TCGTCCACACAAGTCGATGAAGCCGTGACGAAACACACAAACAACGAACACATCTGCTCACGCTGATTCGGAGCTGTAGCAGAGCCATCTCACAGAAAACACGTGTTAGTGCCTCCGTGGCATCACAACGCTCAATACCACACACTGTGTTGCTCAACATATCAAGTTCTGGTGCGCCATAGACAAAAAATCCTTTATCTCAATCAATGTCAGTGAACGTATGCACCCACCCATTCAAACGACGACATTAATCGAACAATCAACCAACAACGAAAGGTGATCGAAGCACTCGTGTCGAATGCAAGACAAAGGCAACTGTCACGAAATGAAAGGAGCGTGACAGAATCAGCTTACAGATTTGCGAAGAGCTCGCGAAAGCACTGGCTCAGACATCGTGGGCAATAGCAGAGTCAGATGTAGCAGAGGTGGTCGCAGTAGAGCTTCTGGGAGGGATTTGAAATGAGACATCCAACACACTCCAGTTTACTCTGCGTTGTGTGCAACCCACTCACGATTTTTCTGATGACGCAATGCGACTCCACGTTTCGCAGCATGCCGTCGTCAGCCTAAGAATGAAACTCTAAAATACAGATGATTAGCGTAAGCATTCCGCGAACGATTCACACGGTGCGACATGTGAGCAAGTGTGAGTGGGCCGTCCTGCGCTGCATGACACTCAATCTAGGGCTTTCGCTACACCCCAAGATGTCACTAAACACATACAATTAAAAACATTACACCACAAATGTCATATCAATAGAATGCAGCACTTAACAACTGCTTGGAGGTGCTTACAAAATGTCTACAAACTAACTGAGATTGTTTGCCAGGTTGACGCAACTTAACAACAAATTGCCTCGTAGTTATTGAGCAACCGATTGAATTTTACCTTGCAACTACTGTCAGTCCCCGATTTTATGATTGTGCACAGAGGGTGACGAGGGAATAGTCGCAGCGACATGATAGGCCTATGCGCTGCAATCCGATTGGAAGTTGGAGCTGCCAAAATGAGGCCGTGGCAGAGGGCTGTTTCCACTTGAAGGGTCGTTGTGATCCGATATTCCCTCACCCACTCCCCACACCAATAAATATCGAAGCACTCTTTTTCCACTTAAACTCGTGTAAGGTAGATGTCTGAGAGTTCGGTTGTTCATGAGAACGACAAAGATGAAGAATATGAAGAAGAATACACAGTTAGAAGCGGTGTGAAAGTGCACGGATCGAGCACAATTGCAGTGCAATGCTCATGACAAATCAGGATTCATGTGCATTGTGGTGGATGGCGATAGTTGGCTGAAATGTAGACATACGCGCAGCAGAGGAGACACAAATATTTGGCCCAATCTTCTTCACGATCAACGTCACCGTGGCTGACGCTGAAGGTGCCGCAGCTCCAGTCATTGATGCCGGAACACTAGGTCGGGTGGCTGGATTGTGACATGATGCTGCTCTTACAATGTTGATTTGTAGGTGAAGTGAATCACGACGACTACTTTCAGTTGCAGCAGCAGCGGCAGCATCTGCAGTCGCATGAGGGCTACGCGAGCTGTGGCGGTGTTGGTAGGGGTGTGGCAAATGTGAACCATAAATAACCACTTGCTCCCCCTGGTAACGGTGATAGCAAATACAGATTGTCTGAACGCACTGAGCCTTACCATTTCGCTACACCTTCTCACTCTCCTCTGTTTGCATACAATCGCAATACCAGGGACAGATCTTTGCTGTGAGGTCCTTTAAACCGGTTCAGCGAGGACAATGAGGCATGGGATGTTGCCGAGGTGTCTGAAA